ACCTTCATCAAATTGTACCGTGCATGAAATATTATTCTTCTGGCACTTTTTCCTAACCATCAAAAAATGTAAAAACTATTCTTGGCTTGTACGCCATATATTATTGGGCAATAGTTTGTTAAGCCTGCTCTAACGTCCTGGGATGACAACTGACTCAGCTGTGGAGAACCCTGTGGGCTGCCTGACATGTAGGAGGTCGTTCACAAAATGAGTGTAACACACAGGTGGTCCAGAACAAGGAGAAGCCGAAGTCTGGGAAACCCAGCTCTTCTCTAACACTAGTAACATAGGCAAGTGAGTAACTCTAACCATTTAAAACTGTGGGACCTTGGGCAAGTTTTCCCACGTTGTGCCTCAACTGCCTCAGCTGCAAGATAAAGATTAGGGCTGGTGTGACCATTAAATATGTGATATGTGCATGCATTTAGTACAAGCAATGTACGTATTTGTTCACTTTTTAAAACAAGTTTTCGAGCTTCAGTGTGTTCACTCTAGAATGCAGAAGATGGATGGAAAGGAACAGTAAATAAAGAGCAAACTATGTTTTCTTTTTTTAAAATTGTAACTTTACAGCAGGTGTTATTAAGCACACTTTATAACAGCAAGTGTGGCTCTAAAGAGCAACTATAACTACCTCATGACGACAAAGTACATTTTAGAACTACGTCTGACTCCAAATTTGTAATACTTATCTTGTATATATACCTCTTAGGGTTGATTCCTACTGGAGACTGTTGTGATTATAAAGGATATCATGTATGTAAATTTGCTCTGCAAGTTGGAAATAGTATAGTATTAAACATATGAATGAGAGAATCTTCCACTTTATGCTTTAGGTTTAATCTTAGGTTTCAAAGATTTAAGGATGAAAAAAACAGAATTTCCCATGTGGACTTGCTTAAATGAAGGAATTCACCAAAGTCTTCGACTTTTTAGATTCTTCTTTAACCATAATAAAAAAGAACGATTTTTATGATTTCCTGTCCTGCAAACTAACAACAACTGACATTAGACTCTTTTGGAAGTTTCAAGCACAGTATGAATTCTGCCGCCCATAACAACTAATTATCATGTAATATTTCTGGATCAAAGACATTTTACAGGAAGTAACTTCAAAGTCTCCAAGAGGCATCACAGCATGTACTCTGTAAGGACATTTTAATCATAGCATATACCTTGTAAGGACAATTAATGTGTACTAAATGCAAAACGAGGTATTATTTTTATGAATGTTTTCAATTTTCAACTTTGTCAACAAGTTTCTTCCAGATGGCTTTGCTCTTTCAGGATTTCATCCCCTACATCTGTCAGTATCAAGCAACAATCCCTTCTTATTCCATCTAAAATTTCTTTTGACAGCCACTGAAAAAAACAAGAACCTGAAGTTTCAAGGCTACAGATAGGATTTTTATTTGCTGTATCTAAATAAGAAATATCCTCTTAAGAGTATTGAGGATTAAATAAATGAACCATTAAAGGATACATGCAATCACAGCTTGGCAAAGAGACAGGCTACAGAGGTAAATCCAAGAGTGTCTTCAATTCATCCCAAGGGAAAACGAAAAGCAACCTGAAAATTTCATGCAGGAGAGTACCAAAACTGCCAGTGAGCTAGAGTGAAGCGTTTAAGAGGCAGAATCCACAGGACTTAGGCGATGATCAGACTCAGAGACAGACAGAAAGTAGCCTACCAGATGCTCTAGTACACTTTCCTTCATGGCACACTTACAACCCTTTAGAGGTTAGTTGCGGCCATGTAACTTTTTCAGCCTAGTAAAAAATGAGATTACTTTAAAAGCTGGCATGCAATTCTCCATGTCACAGGACCCAAGTGCAAGGCTGGCTCTGTTAGTCTGGATCCCAGATAAAACTGACATAAAACAGAGGACCCTTCTTCCAAACTAAGACTGACCTGAACTTGTGTCAAGCTGAATAAATAAAACACTGCTTTTTAGCCTAATGAGATTTGATAGTTGTTACTGCAGCATAATTTAGCCTATCCTAATGCAATAAGAAAGCAATGTTACCCCAGATATGTGTTTGGGTAGTAACAGTACCTAAAACACAGAGTTTTGAAATTTGTCAATGGGCACCAAGACCTGTAGAAACAAAATCTCATTTTAAAAATTTAGAAAACAAACAAACAAACAAAAATCCTTGCCTATTTCCTCGAAGAAAGGAAGGGTGCACTTATAAAGAAAAAAAAACTAAGTATGTTCTTGAGAAATTAAATTGTTAAGGCTTAAGAATGAGTAGTATAAGGTGTTAGGGCTTTTTTTCTATTTTAAGAATTTCAAAAGTGGAGTGTTAGTTGCTTACCCCATTCTAGCATACACAAGAGAAGGTAAGACTTACAGTTAAGAACAGGTAAGAAAGGAAGTCCCTTTTTTTCTTCTATATAGTCATCTTTTGCAATCAGTCCCTATCTCTAAAACATAAATATAACTACCTCAACCAATGATAATAATGATAGCTAGCAATTATCAAGAACTGACTATTAGTCATTAGTTTATCCAATGCTTACGCCCACTGCACTTTATATACGAGGAAATGGAAGATGGTCACACTAGAACAGGGACTAAGCAAAGATACTTCCAAAGTCTGTGCTTCTCATGACCCTCATACCTAACTTCCTCTTTCATGTACACCCAGATAAATTATTTTGAGAAAATGAACTGTAACTGGAAATTTTTTTCCAAAAAGACAATTTCAAAGGTAGGGTGGAGGTATAAAATAAGAGAAATATGCCCAAGCAGAGGCCACTGTGGGCAGCCAGAGAGTAGGAGGTAGAGAGGGCAGAGATACAATGAAATTCTACAGGGCAGGAGGGAAAGTCTTACTAAAACTAACATCTGCCTAAACTATATTTTCTTCTCTCTCACATGCCCCAGGTGAATTCAGAAGACTGTTTTAGTTGGAAGGGCTACTTCTATAAGCAAATACTTCAGAATAACAACATGAACAAGTCGTAACTGCATCCAGTGGATTCACAGCCAACCCTGCTTATAGCTCTAAGAATTTTACAGTAAGATGAACGGTATCAGCAGATTATGGGCTCAATCTTCAGGTCTATCACTTGGTAGTTGAATGCAGAATTTCCTGGATGGTTGGATCTCCATTTCCTTCTCAGGAAAATGGTGACAATAATACCTACTTCAATAGACCATTTTACTTTTTTCCTTCTTTTTTTCCAGAACCCAGCATGCCAAAATGAAAGTTGCCCCTTGTCAAGGTTGGTTTTAACTTCCGGTACATGAATACCTTAAATTATTCCCAAGTACAAAATGCAATATCCTATGCATTTAATATGTAAGAGACATTACTAGAAAGAAGAATCTACCATATTATCAAGTAACAAATACATGAGTCTTTCCCATATACCCATGACTCCACTAGGCAGTAAATATACAATGAAGAAATAACACCAGGGATTGAGACCCTAGGATCAGACCACAGTTCAAAGTTTGACTCTACCATTTATCTACTACCAAGCTGACCTTGGGTAAAAACTAACAAGTCAACAACGAAAGCCAACATGTGACCGTCTGCTAAGCCAGGCTCTGCTACATACAACCACTTTACGTAATCTTCTCAGCACCCCTATGAAGTAGGTACCACTATTTTCCCAAATAGAAATTGAAGAACAGAGAATCAGCAACTTGACCAAGGTCACCACCTTCTAAAACAGCAGGACTCTAGAGCACCAGTAGTAGAGAAATAGTGTATATGTACAGAATCAGCAAGGTTGGTGTAAGGACTAGAAATAATATATTGAAGGAACTTAGCATAGTAGCACATAGCAGGTAGACAAGAAAAGGCACAAGGACACAAGGATAATGGAAGACAAACCAATCCAAAGAAATCTATACAGGTTTCTTAGTCCCAATCTTCTTTCCAATTCCTTGAGCAACTGGTCTATCACCATGCAAGGTTGAATCACAGCTCACGCTTGTACTTCATACTATATCGAAAGATAAAACTTTAAGGCTGAGACCATCCCCAACTACTGTGATATCTCTTTAGTTTTCTTTAAGTTCAAGGGCGGTGTTTCTGGGACTCTCCATAGTAAGTGTGTAGCTCAGAATCATTGAATTTGAAAAACACAGTCACCTAGCTTAACCCCCTTCACTACAGAAAAAAAGGAAAATGAAGATAAGTTTAGTAATTTGTTCCAAAGTCACAAAGTTTGTGCAAAGATCACATTCCTTTCTTCCCACTGAATTATCTGCTCACTAGCAGCGTTTCTATACTAAATCAGCTGCATAGTGATGTAATACAGCTACAGAAACTTAGCATAAAATGAACTAGCATATAAAAGTGCAGAAAAGCGTGCAGAGGGTGGGTATAACGAAGCAAAATCCACGCTGATGGATCAAAAGGTTGTCTGTCCTATTTTATTTACTACCCAACGGCTTCAAGATAAAGTCCCTACGAAGAAAACAGAAGGATTTTCTTCTTCACATCGTATTACAGCAAATTATTTGAAGAAAAAAAAAGGCCTGTTACAAATTTAGTAAACTCCAAAAGATGGACTCTGCAACTATCCTTGCCATTGTTCATGTATCCTTCAGCCCCATGGCGCTAAAACTTGAGTCAAAACCTTGAATGCCTTCACGCACACAAGAAAGCAAGTTAGGGACGTGAAGTCATACTGCCCCACTGCTGCCAAAACTGCTACAGAAATACAATGACAAGTGTTAAAAATGCTCATTTTCATTCATGCCTCCCCCAAGTTAAAAGGGCACCTCCTTTTTAATCACATCTAGTTCCGAAAGGAAACAGTTCTTTCTCTACCAGGTCTCCTATGCAGAACTCGCAGAAGAGATCTGTCTTGCTGCAGGATGAATTTCTCGGGGTACTGTGCAAAGTAACTATCATTCCTACTGTCAGTGTCACTCCTCTGAGGTACTTACCCGCTGCAGCGCCCTCCCTGGGTGGTCGGCAGACCTCTCAAAAAAAGACGGAAAAGGGTTAGGCCTGGGGGGGGCAGTCTCACTTACCGAAAACACAGCATTCTGAAGCCCGAAAGGTATGGGGGTCAGTCTGGCCAGCGCCACCACCTTCAGGCCGCTTCCTCCCTCCACGACGCGAATGACGGCGCTCAGTTTGTCGTTGCTCTGGATCCTGGCGGCCACCCAGGCGGTGAGCAGCCGCTTGCAGACCACATGGGCGATGAAGGTGCCGATGAGGACGCCCACCACCATGAGACCCATGCCCAGCACGAAGCCGTACAGGTAGCCGGCGGCCACGTTGAGCACGATGTAGCCCCAGCCGCAGGGGAACGAGACCACGATGAAGCCCACGACGAAGAGCAAGACGCCGAACAGCGAGTCGAGGCTCTCCACCCAGAGCAGCAGATGCTGCAGGTAGCGGCGGACCAGGGCCAGGGAAGCGAAGCACAGGGCGGCCAGCGCGCACACCAGCACGAGGCTCCGGCACCAACAGGTGCTGCCGAGGCAGCAGCAGCGCCAGCTTCTCACCTCCGCCACGCCGACCACCACGCCGCCGCCGCCCCCGGGGCCGCCTGCC